CATATCTCGTTGGAGGTGGAGCAAGTAGACAGGGCTCAGATGCAATAGGGACTGGTGATGGTGGAGTGTTCTGATCCCAGAGGATGAATAATGTGATATGCTCAAAGCTAAGTCTGAACTGTATTGGTATGTACTGGTATGACTGTGCTGGTATGTAAATGTCACCTAATTGCTAAATAAAAGTGTGTTCTGTTTTATGTTTGCAATATTGATTTCTTAATTTTGGGTTGGAAAAGGGGGGTCTTATACATGAGGGCATCTTATACATGGAAAAATATGGTAGCTTAAAATTATATGTCACCAGAGAGCAATAATTTTTGCATGTGTTACTTCAAAATAATGGAAGGTAGTAACTAGAGATGGACACTTCATATTCTTATCTCAAAGGTATTTATATGAACTGCAGCACCACAAGTGCTGCAGAGGCCCAATTCCCTCCCCCAGAACTGGCAGGCCCACTCCCTGAGTTCCACGCAACACTGTGGTCTTCCTTTGGCAGTGGCACACCAACCCTGACAGGAACCCAGCCAGCCCTTCCCCACCCACCCCCACGCAGCAAACCACTTATCGACAGAGCAGAAAGACTCCCCGTCCTGCCTCTGTGCCAGAGTGGTCAGCTGTGGGGGTGGCGAGGAAGGGCTGGCTGGGCTTCTGCCAGGATTGGTGCACTGCCACCAAAGAAGGACCACAGTGCTGTGTGGGTCCTCTTGAATGGGCTGGCCAGTTCTGTGAGAGGGAATTGGACCCCCGCAACACCTGCGGTGCTGTGGTTTGTAATCGTATCCCTGAGATAAGAATAAGAAGTGCCCATCTCTAGTAGAAACTGATAAGTGATGGGAAGGGATTATCCCGAATGGAATTGTTTTGAGTTGGGAAGCATGACCTATTTTGCAAAATTAGTTTTCAAACTATGATGTTCTGTATTCTAGTCTATGAAGTACCTTCTCCATATTATTTTCTATAGAAAAGTTTTTTTAAGCTTTTAATGATAAAATAGCTTCACAACAAACCTTATTCACAGTACTTTGCTTTTGCATAGCCTGCATATCATGCCCACTTGGGTGGGAAGCTGTTTTTTTAAAGTGTCGGGGAAGGAGAAACTTTGTAGAGAGAGGGGAATACTGGTGTTACAGATGCACCCTCCCATCTTTACAACAACGTCTGCAGGGGGGAAAGCCTGATGGAGTCCTCTCTTTATGAAAAAGTTGTAGCCCCTGGAAGCAGAGAAATAAAGCTGGTTTGGCAGCAAGTAGGTTGGATCCATTCAAATCAGCCTTGCATGTCATGCAATTTTTTTAAAAAAAAAATTAATTCACTTGTTTTATAAGCCCAGGGTAATTGACGATCCAGTCACCTTCTAAGCCAAACCATCTAGGGTTCAGGACTGAGCCCATGGAAAACTATGAGAAACAAGAAATAAAGTTCTTCTTGTGTACAAATTCGCCTTAACTCTGCTGCAATCAGAGAAAGGAAAAGGTGTCAAAAGATAACCTTCTGCAATAGCTTTCTAAAGAGTCTAGAGATCTGTGTGATTGGGACTGAACGTTGACATTTATAACTGTGGGCTTTATAAATGATCCCTTTGCCTGTTAAACCTAATAAAAAGAGCTGTTTAGTCATTGTAAGAATAGCATATTTTGTTTTCAGGTGTTTTTAATTTCATGTTAAGTAAAGTTCAGCTTTGAGTTTGAGATGATAAATCTAGGGCTGAGTAAGCTAAAATAGTGTAATTGTAGACAGTTTTGCCATGATGGCAAGCCGCATTCTCTCAGCCTGATGAAGCAGAACTAAAATGTCAGAGAATTATGAAGTAATGTTGGCAAGTCAACATGCTATGGTGGAATCTTTCCAGGTATAATCTGGTGTAAATAGTCAAAAAGCCTAGGTACTCAGTCTTGGATGGTATCTGTGAAAAAAAACTGATAGGTCTTTTCACAGTAAAAATAACAATACTGTATAGGAAATAAATAGGTTTATGACATAATGGGTGGTTGCATTTTGACTATGGCACAACTTTCTTTTGAAATGTGGTCTTGTGGGATACAATAGGAAAACAATAATATCTGTTAAAGTATAGACCTGAGAACTGCATATTGTTACATGATGAAGGGTTTCAAAGCAGGAAGGGGAAAGTTAGGTTTCAGATATGGTATGTAATGATACAATGACTAAAAGGCTGAAAAGGAAATCAATAATTAAGTTTGCCTGCTATCAGTTGTTTGCTGTGTAGCTTTTTAGCTTTGCCTTCAAACTTCTTCTTATTAATAAGATGATTATAATGTAAGAAAGGTGAAAACTATCTCTTCCTAATTTAGAATACTATGCACTGGACAGCATCCTTATGTTTAATTTTAATTGCAGTAATTGTCACATTGCAGTCTGACTACTTTCTTAACTACCGTGCAAATGAAACCATGCTTCCTGTCCTATAAGCGCTTATGTATCCCTGGAAGAGGCAACTACTGTACTGTACTGATTTACCACAGGAAAATAGTCAAATAACAGAGAAAACATCTTCCTTTTAAAACTACTTTAGCTCCCCCTTGTGGATCGTGCAGTACAAAAATATGTTAATATGGGGAAAGTCACTGTCAGTAATTTATTTAGTACTTGGGGTGAAATGCTGTTTTGCACCCTAAGCAACAAAAAGGTATACTCTTGGTAGTGCTAGGTAATATTTTATCTCAGTAAAAATCCTGCTATTGTACACCTGGTGATGGACTAGTTATGAGGTAAAATATGTCAAATGTAGTACAGTATCCCAGAAAACAGAACAGATAAATCAACAGTGAATGGAAATCTGAGTTGCATAAATTATTGGGGAGGATCAAATCTATGCATCTGCTGTTAACTTACAGCCCTCACACTCTGACCCTCTGAGAAGTCTTCCTGGAACTGTTCTCTTACCATTTAGTTCCTGGCATCTTTATCCATCAGGTGGTAGTTGCTCCAGAGGGAAGGAGGCTCCTTCAGTGCAGCCACCAGCTTGCTCCTCATGGAGTCGCCTAGGCGTAGAGTAGAATAGGTATCTTCTCCCTTTTGTAGCCTTCATCAAGAGGAAGAGTCAGAGGAAGAACTCCAGTGAGATTCCAAAGTCTCTGTGTGCACTCTTTTTTGCTGGTTTAGTTTTAGCTGGTGTTAATTATTAGCAAAATGGTTTGCTATCTTTGGCCTATTCACTCAGAATCTTATATAAACAAGTAAGTATGAGTGTAGCCACTGTTAATTCATCTTTTTAATTCCAGTTAAGATATTGGCTTTTCTTTCATAAATAGTCCTTTCTGTTTGTCTCAGGTTTTGAGATCTTTATAGTTTTCTAATAGATTTTAAAATGCAGGCTCCAGGCATCCATGTGGTATCCATGTGACATGAAGTGTTTCTTGAATAATAACATGGTAGGAAATTAACAGGTCAGGGGAGACTGAAATGTACTGTATAAAGTATAGACAGTGATAATTTTTTTAAATGTAATCCTTGTTTACATTACAACCCAACTGATTAAGACGTACATTGTGATGAAAGTCCCTTGTTCTTATTCAGACATGAACCTTTTGACAATTTTTATTGTTGTTTTGCTCTTTCAGTGGTAGCTTTTCTTGGTCCAACAATGACCATTTCAACTCAACGGTTTTCTCACATTTTTAATACTGCCATCTCTGATCTCATATTTATCTCTGTTTATTCCTTGGTGTAGACCTGTCTGTTTGTCCTTGGTAAGGAGTCCTCTATAAGCAGTAAGGCACTGCTGTCAAATTATGGTATATATCACACTGGAAAGTAGGCAGGTGTTACAAAATTTTGATATTGCAGGTTATATTATTAGGCATTATAATAGCAGCCAGAACTCTCTTGCATAAATTATACCAGTGGAAAGGAAGTGGCATCACTTTGAGTGGCAGACTTCCACTAATTAATTAGTTCTTCTAACTAATTATTAGATCAGCAATGATTCCTCATTGTTTCAATGTAATCTAATAACACTCAATTAGTGGCAGTCTGATTCATGCAAGAATCCAGAAGATGGCACCACTTTTAGATTCCTGAATGAATTAGATTGATTCTAATTAAAGACAAGCACCCCCCTTCAATTTTGTACCATGTGTGAAGCCACCAAAGACAAGCTCCCCCTTCAATTTTGTACCATGTGTGAAGCCACCTGACTTGGCAGAATTTTGCTAATAACTGCTTTTAGGTTTATGACATATTTGGTTTTGGCTTCTACACACTCTTTTCCTTTAAAACAAACATGTAAAATGCATCAGTTTTCCTTCAGCTGATGCATTTCTGTGTACAATTGGACCTCCCTATCTGTGAAGGATCAGTTACACAATCTGCCATGGATGCCTGAAACCGCAGATACAAGGGAACCCTATATATAATGTACTGTACAAGGGGGTGGGACAAAGACCACAAGGGGGCACCCTGTATATTGTATATAGGACTGCACCAAACTGTGGATAAATGAAACTTATCCTGCAACTGTACAAGGGGGTGGGAAAAAGACCACAAGGGGGCACCCTATATATTGTATATAGGACTGCAGTAAACTGTGGATAAATGAAACTTATCCTGCAGATACGGGAGTTCTACTGTACATGTTAGTCTGAAAGGGGGAAAAGTCTGTTTAGATCCTGTTTCAATGTGTTCTTGTAGGCCTGTTGCTGATACTTGGTAGCTGCAACAGACAAAACTTCAATAACCACTCTGAGCCATGATGGGGAGAGCATGGTTGGAGTGGTTACATGTAACTGCCATACAAATTTCCAAAAATGCCATGGAGCAGCACTATGTCAGGGGCATTGTGAGAAGCATCAAAATATGGCTCTGAGGACCAGGTTGAACAGGGAGGACAGGCATCAACAAGAGCCTTACTGGGACCATCAAAGCTTCAAAGAAAATGCCCGTGGAAAGCCACCTCTAGCTTTCTTATTATGGCAATGTATTTTCAAATGAACTATAAAATGAGTGTCTATAAGTAAATGTCTTATATTTGTCCTTAGGTTATATGTCAACAAGTTTCACAGAAGCACTTAGAGGAAGGACGTTTGTATCCACCTTTAGCATCAATTCAAGATGTCTCCCTGAAAATTGCTGTGAAAGTAAGTTAATAATGCAATATCTGATTATGAAGGGCTAAATGTGTTATGTTAAAAAGCTATTAACATGTGGTATCGAACAACACATCGATGGTGTACTTTGTGACTGCTTCGTTAGCAAAGCTTTTTTTGAAAATGTCCTCAAATAATGGCAGTCTAATTAGCTGTGACAGAGTTACAGTTTATTTGCTTATCTGGATCCTCCGTTATGCTGCCTGGTGGCCACTTTCAGGAGATTAGTTTGAAGGATACTCAGTCTTCCCAACACTTTTCAAAAGGCTTTGTCTAAACAAAGTTTATTTCCCCAAGACCAACTTCTTTTTTTATTACACTTTGTTCCCTTTTTAACAAGAATATCCAGAATTCTCTCCCCTCCCTTTTTATCCTCAAGACAGGTGAATGAAATAGATTAGGTTGACAGTTCATGGCTAGACAACAGCCAGCCTGCTGAGCTTTATGCTGATTAGGAATTAGAATAACATACCTGTAATAGAATTGTAGAACTGGAATGTACTGTGGAGTGATATACCCTAACTCCCCTATGCCAGAATACACAGCTAAAAGCATCTCTAATGATAGCTACCAATCTCTCTTTAAAGACCTCTTCACAAAGAGGAGCCTGCCACCTTATGAAATATTCTGTTCCACTGTCAGAAACAGCTCTTACCTTCAGGACGTTCTTCCTAATATTAGGGAGAATCACCTTTCTTTTAATTTGAATCCATTTCTTTTTTCTCTTTCTGAGCATATTGAGGAGAAAGATGACTTGGCTTCTATAACTGAGACCTGGGTGAGTGCAGATGGAAGAGAAGCACTCTCCCAGCTGTGTCCACCTGAGTATTCCATCCAGCATCACGGCAGATCAGTAGGTAGAGGTGGAGGGGGTCACCAAAGTCTATAAGGATTCCATCTGTGTCAGCAGGAACTGTGTGTTGTTGATTCTGGGTCTAGAGAATCTTTGCCTGACAGTGGGGCAGAGGGATAGATTTGGGTTGGTGCTGGCATACTCCCTGCATCCCAGCACATTCCCTACGAGGGCTCTCTCAGAAATGATGTTGAGGGCCCACAGACTTTTCTTGCTGGGGGACTTCAACATCCATGCTGACACGGGGCTTTCTGGTGTGGCCCTAGAAGTCATGGACTCCATAACATCCATGGGTTTATCTATCTCAACGTGTTATTGGTCCCATGCATAGAGCAGGCCACACTCTGGATCTGATGTTGACATGGATAGAGCACAATGTTCCCCCTAAGCTGTGCAGATGCATGGCTGCACAGTGCTGCATTGGTGCCATGCACCTGCAGCCAGTGTTGCTACACATTTGGTTCTGGTTGTGTCTGGAACCCTGCACACGCAGGATGGGACCACCACCCAGCGCTGGAAGAAAATTAGAGTGAACATTGGTAGGGTATGATCTGAGGGTGGCAGATAATCAAGTTCTGCCCTCGGTCATGGTCATATCATTTCCTCCTGAAATTTATTCTGGCCTTGGTAACACGCACATGCACACGCACATGCACACACCCTGGCCTTGGTAACACGCACACGCACACACACACAAGGAGATGGGTCAGTTAAAATAATCTGCCCTTGGGGGCACCTGAAGCCTGTGGGGTTTTGGGAGGCCTTGGAAGGATTTCCAACTGACTTGGTTAGTGATCCTGATGAAGCTCAAGTCAGTAGGTGGTCCACTGACATGGTCCACGCAGTTGTCAAGATCACTCCCAAACGCCCTCTCTGCTCCTGAGCTTGGCCTCCCTCTGGTTTACATAGGAGCTTCGGGTTATGAACTTAGTCAGGAGACAGTGAGAGGAGATGGAGGAGGGACCCATCAGATATTAATTCCTCTGTAGTATGTAAACTAATCAGAAAATATCCTAGCCATGAAGTCATCTAAAAAGACTTTTAATATAAAGATTATCAGTGAGGCAGTAAACCAGCTTTACTGGGTTGTCTGCTGCCTTACCAATACTGGTCAGCAAAGTCCTCAATTTGGTGATTTCACCAGCTAACATTTGTGATTTCTGTTTCTAGAAGCATTTAAGCTTCTTTAGATAGAAAATTCAGCCCATCTGATGGGACATAGAATTCTCTGACAGTGGATTGCTGTCAGATGGCTTGTGCACCATCTCCTCTGGTTCACTGGATAGGTTCCAGTCGGTAACATTTGTAAATGTGGCCAGGACTCTGGGACATTGCAAACCCACTACAGTACCTCTGTGTTCAATCCTTGGCCAGATTGGCTCTTGAAAGCAGCTGATGGGGTTACTGTGGATTGGGCTGTTACTATTATAAATGTCTCATTGAGGGAGAGCATTATGCCTTTCTACAGCTCATCCTAAAATGTTCCAACCTGATGATGGACAATTTAACCAACTTTAGGCCTGCTGCCAGTATTTATGGGCAAGTTGATTACTCTGTGTTCAATACTTGACCAGATTGGCTCTTGAAAGCAGCTGATGGGGTTACTGTGGATTGGGCTGTTACTATTATAAATGTCTCATTGAGGGAGAGCATTATGCCTTTCTACAGCTCATCCTAAAATGTTCCAACCTGATGATGGACAATTTAACCAACTTTAGGCCTGCTGCCAGTATTTATGGGCAAGTTGATTAAGCGTGTGGTGGCAGAGCAGCTCCAGACATTCCTGGAGGAAGAGAATTGTCTGGATCTATTTCAGTCCAAGTTCAGGCTGTGCTATGGTACTAAGACAGCACTGGTCACATTGCAAGATTACTTCCTCAGGGAGGCCTATGGTTAAGAGGATTGACCCTGATGGTGCTCCCTGATCTCTCAGTGGCCTTTGACACCATCGTTGATGGTATATTCTGGGGCAGACTGTCAGGTATGGGGGTTGGTGGACTGGTGCTTAGCTGATTCTGATCTTTTCTTGATGCCTGTGTCCAAAAAGTTCAGCTTGAGGAAGAACTTTTGGCCTCTTGGACCCTGAATTGTAGGTTGTCACAGGGGTTGTCTATCTCCCCAATTCTCTTTAATAGCTATGCGAGGCTGCTAGGATAGGCCACCCAGAGATTTGGAGTGTGTTTTCATCAATATGCTGACTGATGATACACAGCTCTATCTCTCCTTTGCAGTGGATGCTGTCCATGTCCTGAAGCACTGCCTGACCTCAATTCTGGAATGGATGAAGGCTAATAGGCAAAAACTGAACCCGGAAAAGATGGGGGTGGTCATGCTCTTGGGAGGTCCTCTGGAAAGGGTAGGGGGTAGACTCCCTAGGTTGGATAGAGTCCTCCTTCCACTTGTAACTTGGGGATGCTCCTGGACTCACCCTATCTCTGGAGCATCAGATTTCAGCTGTGTCCAGGCCAGCATTTAACCAACTTAGGCTTATCGCCCAGTTACACCCCTACCTGGATGGAAGATCCCTGGCTACTTTGGTCTGTGCACTGGTGATCCCTAAGACTGATTTTGTAACACCCTCTATGTGAATCTGTCCTTGAGGCTGGTGCAGAAATTACAGCGGGTCCAGAATGTGGTAGCCAGAATGGTCTCAGATGTGAATAAGTTTTGGTCTCAGGTGTGAATAAGTTTGATCACATATCACTAGTTCTGGTTCACCTCCACTGGCTAACAGTTGTTTACTGCACCAGGTTCCAGGTTTTAATGCTAGTATGTAAAACCCTTAATGGTTTGGGCCCCAGTATCCGCTGAAGCAGTTCTCCCTCAGAACATTGCCGTGCTCCACCCATTCGTCACAGGCCTTATTTCTCCAAGTTGCTATGCCAAGAGAGGCTGAGAAAACAGCCACCAGAAAGCTTGCCTTCTGGCCATAGCCGATACTTTATGAAATAGGCTCCCTGTGGAAATCGGGCAGGCCTCCTTCCTCTCATCCTTCAAGAGGATGCCAAAGACTTTTTTTTTTGTTTCTAGAAGCATTTAAGCATTTAAGGGCTTTGTCTATATATCATTTGAAGTTTTATTTGAAGTAGGTATTTACAGAATTTTATTGATTGGTTGGGAGTGGTCTGGGCTATTGTTTATTTATCTTTGTAAACTGCTTAGAATAGTCCCACACTAAGTCAGCAGTATATAAATTTATGAAATAAATAAATTTTGTTGATTGGATTTTCTCTGATACATTAGATTAGAATCTATTACTCAATATTAAAATTTGAACTTTTTTACTTTTACACTGTGCTGCCTCGTAAGGTGATGCAAAATCTTCCTAATGTCTTGTTTTCAGATTGTAGAGCAAGCCTACAGCAACAACACTGCCACCTTCTACCCTGAGCCAGCTATGAAATAAATACATTTTGTTGATTGGATTTTCACTGATACATTAGATTAGAATCTATTACTCAATATTAAAATTTGAACTTTTTTACTTTTACACTGTGCTGCCTCGTAAGGTGATGCAAAATCTTCCTAATGTCTTGTTTTCAGATTGTAGAGCAAGCCTACAGCAACAACACTGCCACCTTCTACCCTGAGCCAGTAGACAAGGAAGCTTTCATTCGCTCCCAGATTTACAGCACTGACTATGAAAACTTTCTGACGGATTCTTACTCCTGGCCCAAAGAAGCCATGAAAATACAAACTGCAAACTTTTAATGGAAGAACAGCACCACGGAAATACTAGCAGCACTGAGAGACTTGCAAGTTTTCATCTTCCTTTAAACGATAGCACAACTTTGTCAGAACTCAGGATATACTTGTTTTCCTTGTTAACAGCACAGAATAATTTTAAAAGCCAAATGTTATTAATGCTCTGTTTTTTAAATGAATTACTTAAGCTAAAACAGTATACAAATAAAATAATTTTTAAAATGTAGACACTTTTAATAAAAATTTAAAGGACCTATGCTAGACAAAGAGAAGTACAGAAAAAAAGAGATGTGCTTTTCATATATTTTGACATCTGTATAAAATTTTGGTTATGTATTAGTTTTTCCACTGAGCAGCCTTATCAGGACATACTTGTTTTCCTTTTGAACTGCACAGAATAATTTAAAACGCCAAATATTATACTGTTGTTTAAAGAAAGTAAGTTCAAATAGTATACCAATATGAGAATTTTAAAAATATACACACTTTTAAGAAAAAATTTAAGCAGCTCTGCTACATTTATTACAGCTAAAGAGAAGTACAGAAAATAAAGGAGAAAGGCACTTTTCATATATCTTGACAACTGTGTGAAATTTTGGTTATGTACTGTATTAGTTTTTCCACTGAATTTAGAAAAAATGAATACAGTGAAGTGACACGGCAATATATCATCGGTATGATCACCTAAAATTTGACATAGCTACTCGCTTCAATATTTTATCATTCTCTGTAACAAAAATGCTCCTAGATTAGAAAGTAGCTTGAGTTTTTTCTCTATTGTGCATCAGAAAATTGTCCCAGCTACCAAAGTGCATGTTTTTAACAGGGAGGCAAGTCGGTAAACCATAAAAAAGAGAGACAGCAGGACAGGGAAGGATTTGGATATTCCGTTATGACCATCCAATTAAGAACTTTGGCAGTTCATCACAAAATAAACCATATTTTCTGAATAACCTAAAACACAACATTATTCTTTTACAAAAATTCAGATCCTGGATTTTCACTTAGGAAAATTCAGTTTTAGTTCCCTGTCTTCAGCAAAGTCAGTTTTTAATATAAGACTACAGAAGAGCCTAGCAGAAAGGGGCTTTGTAATTCAGTGTCCTATTTCTGGCTATGGTGGGTGGATTTTTCTAGGATGCTCACAAAGATAATGTACAGGGAAACGTTTTCAGACAGAGGGACAAAACTGAGTCTGAAATAAATTCTTGAGGGCCATGAGAGTGGGGCTAAAGGCAAAAGGGAGGGGCCAAAACATCAGCATATTTTAGCTTAAAGCTGTTACGGCCAGTAAATAAGCCTTGGGAGACGCACTTGAATATTTAGAACGGGGAAAACCCATACAAATGCTGCAGATGAGGATGGGGCATAGTCAGCTGGAAATACCAACTGGTATTCAAAGGCACGCTGCCTCTAAATGCAGTGTTTTCATTTAGCTGCTGATCAACTTTCATTAATTTGTCTTGGGAATTTCACCCTCCCAAATATTTTGGCCTCTCCTTTAAGTTCAACTGTCTTGTTGTTTCCTTCGGAACATTTATGAAATTAGCAATTCTTCCAGTGTAGTCTCTTGTGTAACCCAAAAGCCACGGTGACTTTTCATCTACATTTTTTTCCACATCCTGTTGTTTCACAACTACCCATCTTATCCCAACAGTTGGATATGTATGCTATATATGCATTGGGCACAAGGGTTTTTCCAGAAGCCTTTTAAAAGCATTGGCCAAATTCCTGTTGCTTAACACAGTCAATTGCACTAGAGTAGGCCCTTTGAATTAATGGAGATTTAGTGAGTCAACTCCTCCCTAAATTCCATTGATTCAAATGGTCCTACTTGAACTGCAACCTACTGTGCTAAAGTCAGTCACAGTTAGAGTAGGCCCATCTCAATCAATGGAACTTGAGAAGTTCAGCAGCCAGAACTCCACTGATTCAGTGGGCTTATTCAACAGGAGTTTGGCCACTGTCTACCAACAGCTTCCTTCTGCATATAACATGTGCTTACATTCTAAGATAATTTAATTTTCATCACATCAGCAAACAAGATTTATCTGTAGGCTGTTTAACATGCATTAACGCGCACATTGTAATGTACTATGCACTACTCATGTTTATAAACTTTATATCAAATTTTGAAAAATACCACCTTGCACAGGGTTATGCAGGTCCTCCAATTTAGTTAAACATATTTTTGACAGAAACTTGAGCTTTGTACATTGTACATAAGGTCTACGTTAAACTTCAGCAAACAGCCTTTTGTTGATTTAATGTTTTGTAGACAGGCAAACCAAGAGCCATCTGCTTAGCAGGCCACATATATCTTTTTGCTCTGAACCATCATGAACAGACTCTTCTTTTGGCATGCAAATAGAAAGTATTTCAGTGGTTTACGCTTAGTTGTTCTTGACAAATCTATGCTGGCTTCTAGTTAATACTGTATTGTTTTGAAGGTGCTTGCAGAGTGACTGGTTTATAATCTGCTCCTGAATTTTTCCTGGGATTGATGTCAGGCTGACTGGTTTGTAGTTCCAAGGTTCCTAATTCCCCCCCCCCTTTTAAAGACAGGGTCAACATTAGCCCTCCTTCAATCATCTGGCACATCACCCAAGGCTCCATAATTTTAAGAAAACAATAGACAATGGTCCTGAGAGTTCTTCAGACAGTTCCTTCAACATTCTTGCATGCAGGTCACTGGGTCCTAGAGATCTGAACTTGTTCAAAATAATAAGGTATTATCTGACTATTTGTTTATCAAGCTCAAGCTGGAATCCTGTCCCTTCCACTTGTAGTTCACATTTTGGGAAAAGATCAAATTCTTTGTGGCCTCTGTGAATCACACTCTGGGTGATTCACGCATGTGTGGAGCCTTATCAGAATATTCCAGAGCAGTGGTCCTCAACATTTTCTGAGTTGTGGACTGGTTGGGGGTTGGGGTCCAAGCATGGGGGTGGGGCACCCCCCTGGCTCGTGGGTGGTCAGGGTGTGCTCACAGAGGGGTGGAGCGCACTTGCGGAGGGGAGGGCCACTCATGCGTGAAGGGTGGAGTGGACTCATGCGTATGTGTGAAGAGGGGTCATGCTCATGGAGGAGGGCATGCGCATGTGTGTGGA